TATATATTAAATCCATATAACTAACAGGGCTTAACTAGAGCTGAAAGATGGCTGGAGTTTGTCATTGACAGAATCCAAAATAGCTGACTAAAAAAGCTGGAGAAAGAGAGAATGAGATACCTTGTTTATTAACAATAATCTGTACAAAGTGGAGCAAGAAAGTTGTTTTGAGGGGTGACGTCAGTGTACTAAATTGCATAATACTGGGGCTGCTGTTTTCAAGCAGGAAAGTAATTCTTTTCTATTTGTTTGTTTGCTTTGTTTTCAGTGTGATTGCTTTATCTATAGTTAGTAAGTTGTATATAAAAGGAAAATCTATCAAATATCAACAGAAAACAAGAACTTTTTTTTTTTTTTTTTCCAGAAAGGCACCTAGATTTGGTGTCTTGTAACCTCCTTCTTAGTTTATGACTGTAGATCTCAAATTCAGTTTATGGAATTCTTAAAACATACTGGACTTTTGCTTGGTTCTCATTTGACCTTGCAGGTCCGTCCGTCCTTCCTTCCTTCCTTCCTTCCTTCCTTCCTTCCTTCCTTCCTTCCTTCCTTCCTTCCTTCCTTCCTTCCTTCCTTCCTTCCTTCCTTCCTTCCTTCCTTCCTTCCTTCCTTCTATTGTACTTTTGATATTCTGTGATATTCATGATATTCTGTGTTGGTCTTTCTTAATTTCTAGCTACATTTTCTCCTTTTTAAGACATATCCAGAATTACACATAGCAACAAAACATTGCTGCCCCATGGATTTTCTCTGTGGCATGCTGCTTTTCTCTAGTTTTGTTCACTATCCTTTATTTATTTATTTTTAAATAAACTGTAGCATCTATTTATTGTTGAGTACTGATGTTAACAGAAAACAGCCCATGACAGCTTTAAGATTTGGGTATTAATACATAGTTCAGTGCTTCCCTTGATTTTATGAAGAATCACACACCCTCCCCCCACACCACCCCATGCCCTGTGCCCTATAAGTTACTGAAGTCTGTCAGTCATAAGATTTACCACAATTTATCCCAGATATCACAGTAGGCTATCACAGGCAGAGTATTCATATGCCTTGTATTGCCCTCTCTATCCTGAAACATGCAAGTTATCCAAAGCTATGATAGTGAAACATCAGGACCTATATATACATATATAGATAGGCCTGTGTATAAATGAAGTAATATTATTTACTTAACTATTTTATTATTTACTTCATTATTTTAATGTACTGTATTGGTATAATAACAAAAGTTGGTATTATAGGTGGGAGAAATCTACTGCTGGACAATATGAGGAGACATTACTACCATTTGGACATATGCTTTTTCGTACAAGTTCAGTGTTCGGTTTTCAAAGAACCACTGAATAAAAATTTTCCCCAGCCCCCAACAATAACAACAAAACCCTTGTTAGAGTTGTTCATAGTAATTTTCAATTTAACTATTTCCCAAGTGTAAAAGGTTAATAATTAAGGAAAAAAAAACATTTTATCCACTTTAAAATGCTTTTATTTTTTATGACATTATTTATGGTGTGAAGGTCTGCACAAACAAAAAATTTTATATGTACTATGACATAACAATAATCAACGGAAACAAAAGTTTAAGTATCTCAGATTACATATCATTGTTTTAAATGAATATTACCTTACAAGTGCTATGTTGCCTAAAAAGTGATTCTCTGCACTGGGAATTAAATGAGATTCTTAAAATTAATTACCCTTCTATTTGTACATGCTGCCTGCATCCAATGATGTGACAGCACTTGCTTTCTGTTTGAAAGGACTGTTTTGACATACATTTTGTGCAGTAATATCTCTGGGGATTCATTCAATAATCACGGATGTTTCATAAGGCACCTTAGTTTGCTTACAATATTGGAAATACACTATACAATTTAATTTGGTGTGCAAACAAGTTCATTTGTGAATTTTACAAAGATTCTTTGTCTTTTACACACTGTTGTTATGAAGTAGAAAATAAACTGCTAATTGTCCCATTGTTATTATACTCCAGTTTTAATGGGACTACTCACAGATTATGGAAGTTTTTGTAGCATTACCAAGGGAAATGGAAATAGATATGAAGGAACTGAGAGAGAAAAAAGGCATGTACAGTTGAAATGGAAAAGGAAAAATGCTATAGATAGGCAAAATAGGCAAATCTATTTTGATCCCTGCAACTCACTTTCTTGCTATTTTCATATCTCATACAGAATTGCCCCCTCTAGAAATTTGCAAAAAAAACCCTATTACTAAAATTGTCAGCAATTGTTTCTAGTACGTTTATTATCATCCATGATGTTGGTCCACATTCTCTTTGATAACCATGGCAAGATATTACAAGGAGAGATGGTGTATGCATAGTGACTGTAATCATCTAGGATTTCTTTGATTATTTTTAAGGTAAGCAATTGTCTTAGAAATGTTCTAAAGGAAAGGAAGCCTGTAGAGTATATTTCCACAACAGTGAGCTGTGCTCTCTTGTAGACAGCAGGCTATTTTATAGTTAGCCACCTTCAAGAAGGTTAGCTCTAATATCATGTGGGAAAGTACAGACTTGTCCCTGCATATAAAAGTATATTTTTAGCTCCTTTTTTGCTAGCTGTTAATGCCATACAGCTGTTTCATGACCCACTTTAAAGTGAGCAATGATATACTAGCCTGAGTTACCACATCCTAACTGTTGTACAGACACCCTAAAATAAAATTGTGTACTCTTTCTGGGAGAACCCAGACTGTTTTTGTTAGATGTTTCCTGGATGAACCTACGCAGGCTACCTCCTAGCAAATGAGATGACACTATGGTTAGCAGTAATAATATATAACTCCAGTCAGTGTTAAAGTCATTAGTGGCAGTATGTTGTCTTTGGTTAGTGGTGACTCATGTAAAACATCTTTAACAAATTATGAAACACTTTCAGTGCAATTGTTTGGGCTTTTGGTGATTTGAAACAATGACAAGCTTGTAGTATTCATGGTTTTGCTCTATTTTGCCTCAGAGGTAACTTGTAAAAAAAAAGTCAACAAATGCTTTACAAAGAGCTACAACAAGAAACATTTCATTCCTGTTTTGTGTTCTGTTCTTGGCCACTGCCTGTACTCTAATGTGGTATCACTGTTTCAACCCTTATACAAAATACAGACATCTGGTAGGATTCTTTTTGGAAGTCTAAAAGAATTAACATGATCAAGTATTTGTGACCTGTTAAGGACTGAAAGATCACAAACAATACTGAGAGTAAGATACTGTCCTCTAATTTCAGTTTTGAAAGCAAGTGTGCTATATCTGAGTTTGAGTGGCTAGCTTTAGAAAACTTTCATATCAATATGTTTTCAACAAAGTATGTTGTTTTGACAATGCAAAAATAGTTCAGCCTTCTGAGTTTCTATCATCTGAATATCTTGACACTTCCTAAAAAAAAAAAAAGAATGGAAAGGTTCTAATTTGGAAAGTCTGTGTTTAAATAAAAAATCAGCTTATGAAAATATGAACATTGTTTTCCTGTTTCTCTCATCTCTGTTCTTTCTGTATAAGGAACATGCTAAAAATCTCATGAAACATAATTTTCATCTTCCTAATTGTCCTTATGAAACAATAGCAACTGGAGTTTTTGTTTGTTTTTTTTTGTTTGTTTTTTATTTTTTATTTTTTTTTAAATCAATTTCAATTTCATTACTTAAAATAGTTACAAACCACACATCACTTACAAATCTTCCTGTTATAACACACTGGCTTTGTACAATGACTTCCAATCCCTTTCTCCCATTCAGAAAAACACTTTGTGGTTTTACTTTTAAACTTTAAATATTTTTAGAATGGCATAGCTTTCCACAATATGGATCTTGGAATGTAATGCAATAAGATATTAGTTCATGCAATGGAAAGTTCTGTGAGTAGTAAATATACTTTAAACAATTTGTATTGATGTTTTTGCATTTGATCTCAAAATGGTTCTTTAAAGAAAAAGTATTGTAAAATAATTATAGTAAGTAATTGCTTGGCTCTCACAGAACACGAAGTTTCTTTAGAATAGGAAACAATAATAGAGCTCTACTATTATTTTGTAAAAACTAAAGTTGTGCATTTTTTATATACTCATTTTTGAAGAAATACTTTCTTCCTAGTGATTTTTTTTTTCCATCCAGAAGAGTTCAATGTAATTTCACAATATGGTTGTAACCTAGTTACTTAGACCAAAAGCTAGGGTCTCCAGCCAAGAGGGCAGGAAACTGAGGTCATTCCCTCAGTCTTTATGGAAAGAAAGACTTGAATTGCCACCTTGCTGGGGCATTCTCTTTGTAAGCAAATACCACACACACCCCACCCCAGACATGTTGCCTTAGCTACAACTGCTTAACGTCTGTTAGTAAGTATGTGATTATTTTTTAAGGTGTAGGACTTTTAACAAAACCAGGGCTTAATACCTCATTTGAGGTTAGGTAGATGTGTACAGAGAACACTCCCTGTGGCAGTACCCCTGCAGAGTACAGAATGCCTAAGCCAACCTTTTCGCACTGCCTTCTCTGGTATACCTCTCCCTGTACTGTACCATCCATACAGGAAAGCTGCTGTTTTTGCAGGGAAGCTGTTCCTCCTTTGTGGTAGAGAAATGAGATGGATTTGTTTTTAATCTTTGTTTTCTACTTTGTAGAGAGCAGCAGAGGCAGGTATAGCGCTGCAAGTTGTTTCTTTAAGTTGGTGTCTATTTTAATTCCATGGTCACATTTCCTACTGAAGTTGTTTTGCCCATGAGTATAGTTTCCATTCACGTTGGTAGATTCTGTATTCATTCCACCTTCCTCTTTTACTCTCCTTGCAGAAGTTTTATGTGTGTTTCTCCCAGCAAAAAAATGGCTGTTCAGCAGCCTTTGAGCCTGTCATCTTAGATTTAAAAAGAAAAATTTATTGGCTTGTTTTCTCCTTACTCTTTGGCATTGTCCATGTGCAGCTGGCTTCTGCAGATGTTTTCTTAACAGAACTGGTGACTTTTAAAGCCTTGCAAATGTCGGCACTGTTACAAGTTTCCCCTTTACTCAGAGCTACAGTACACAGGCTACATCTGTCCTTAGTGGATCTGGCTGCCTTTCTTACCTACTTAAATATAACTTTCAACTTACTGTGCCGATATATTTGCTTGCAGCAGTACGGTAAGCAAACATGTATATGTGTTATTGGTGTTGGAATAGTCTTTCTAATTCAAAATAATAATAATAAAAAAACCTATTCTCAGACTAAACATTTTTCTAATTACATTTGCATACTTTCATAATGCATGGGTTTTTCAGCTGAACTCAACTTTTTTTTTTCCTTTTTTTTTTTTTTTTTTTTTTTTTCTGTATCACTTCTTATTGCTTCTTCAACTTTCTCAGTTTTGTTCCTTAAAGTGGATGAATATTTCTGTATTCATAAGAACATCTTCCATAAATACCCATTCTTGTTCTGACTCTGAGGACTCCCACCTTTAGTAAAGCATTCTAGCATTCTTTCCACACACTTTTGCTGAAGCACTTTATCTTTTGAGTGGAAAAAAAGGGGGAAAGCATGCTAGAGAAAGAGAAATGCAACTGTCAAATACCCTTTCTTCTGTTACAGCCACTCATTTGTTAGTGGATGATTGGGATTTAGGGAGCAAACATATGGAGGATGGTTTGTGTGTAGGCAACCTTATATGTATTTCTGACTTTTTGTAAAGCAAATAGTAACAAGTGTAGCATGGTCCTTGACTGAAGTACATTTCTGCCTGAAGTATGCATCTTCAGTGTGCTTTTGAATCTGTAGCTACTGAATGAAGCAAAGTCCCCCAAAGCTAGAGCAATTATTTTGTCCAAATAATAAGACTGTTGCTAGAGATGACACCTCATATCTCCAAACTTCAGAGCAGAAAGTTTATAACATTAGTGGCCAATTAAAAAAGAAAGTGGGAGGTGGAGCCGGCCCATTTCTTCCCTTTCCTTTGGTAGACTAATATTTATCTTATATTTTACAGTAAGAAGTTAGAGAAGCAAATGATATTTCAAATGACTTTTCACATGTTGGCTTGGAAGTGTCCGAAGAAGGAACCAACAAGTCTGGTGGCTTCAAAATTTAACTCCAAATTTAAGAAAGACAAGGTTTCCTTCAGCTAAACTACCATTATAATCTAAAAGGAGAGAGAGAGAATGGCATTTGATTCGTTACTAAAAATGTTAATTAATTAATTAATTAATTTTTTAATACAACAGGTAACTACTTCATGTGCCTTATAAAAATTTCTTATAAACAAATTTATGGTGATATTTTTCTTGGTTAAATATTTTCATGTGTAAATATGTATGGTTTTCATAGAGAATAAGGAAGGAATAGCATGAAATAAGCAACTAAGAGGAAGACAAAGACTTGCTTTACATTCATTTTGGGGAACTGATCCTAACTGAGCTTATGCAGGGGTGCTGTATCTTGATATAATAATATCAACTATTTTAAGGAGGTAGTGATGTTCCCAGAGTGTGAATAACTCTGCCAAGAATAGCTATGCTAGCTTTTCTTGAGCTATTCCATATGAGGTCTACTTACTTTGGGTTTTATCATTCATAGAAAGGGTATTTAAAAATGCTTTCCTTTCTGCTAGAAACATAGATTTTAAGAGGGTGCTTACAACTAGTCTAGGATTTGATATGACAGATATTTATATCTAATGCAGAGCAAAACACAAAATACACTTAACCTTTATTCAGTTGCATTGTAAATGTATTCCACTTTCTTTCAACTGGAGTGAATTATATTAATAACTTGTTATTGTTAAAATGTCAAGAGTATTTTCTTTCTCTTTGAATTATCATTTCTCTGCTCAGGGTATTGGGTTCTCCTTATCGCTCCTGACATGGAAAGGAAGAAATGTAATCTTAAGTGAAATGTTCAGACTTCTCGTGAATAGGTAGGTTATTTCTTTCAGATTAGCTCAAGTAATAGTTACAGAGTTGACATATGGAATGTGGAAAGAGACAGGAACCAGACAATGCACGGAAACTGAAACACTCTCTCATTTAAAGATACAGTCTCCCTGGGACTAATAGAGTGATGTGCACAACATGTCAGATACTTCTGTATCTGGCACTTCCTTTTATTTTCACCAAGCTGATTTCAAGTATGTGACTTTTATTTTATTGTGACATTATCACAATAATTTACAGCCTCCTTTCAGTGTTGAAATGTGCTTGTTTTGGGAGGAAATATGAGATGTTCCAGAAAAAAAAAATCTAATTAGGAGTTTTGAATTTCATTCCGTCTCTTCAGTTGATGAAATATATTCCCAGTAAAACACCTGGTTAATCAGATAACTCTTACACAGTTCTTCCACCTCAGTACTTCAGAAAGAGGTCATTTTTCCTCTTAAAGGATAGTTACCTTGTGGGAAGTAGGTTAATCCACTGTCCAACTGGAATTTAAAGGCTGAAGTAAAAATTGTGTACATTTTGTAGTTTACGTTTTTCCAGCATGGCTTATGAAGCAAACAGAAATGTAAAGTTAAACATATTTGTATCATATTTATTGTTTATAACCAGAAATGTGACAGATACTCCTCTTAATGACTTTACTACAGCAAGCTGAATCAAATTCCATTTGATATCTTTGGAAAGTCTGATTGGCTCAAAGGGAGAAGAAATGTTTCACTTTATATTAGATCCCTTTCTTAAAGCTTCTAAAATAATAGTACTGTCACCACCAAGGATAATCTGGATAAAATCTGTCAGAGTTAACAAAACCTTCCTTCCTTTTGTGAAGTGAAAAAAACTTTGTTCAAGCCAAGTTGTGTGTATTTTTACATCCTTATTTTTAAATTAACTATCGCTTTCCACTAGCAGCTATCAATGCATATAAAAAGCTATTGGTGAAATAGCAAGGTTCAGGGTAACATAATGGTCCTTGTTTTTGTGCATTTTTCTTTAAAAATAAACATTAATGTTCACTAGTATTAGTAACAGTATTGCTTGCCAGCTGGAGTATTTTATTTTTGAATGAAAGAAAGAAAAACTAGATCCTACAAAAGTGTCAAGGACTTTTGTAGGGAAGGTGTCCTAGCTAAAAAAAATCTTTATACATTGTAACACTACAGGTGTAGTTTCATGACTTTAATTCTGAGGAAATATTGGCCTGCCCAATGCAAAAACTTAGCTTTGTCTATTTCAGAGAGCTAATAACATTAAGAATTTAAACTGTTAATATTGGTGTTATTGGTGGTGGTGGTGGGAAATAGTGCCCAAACATCATCCTGACCTACACAATTAAACAAAACAAAACAACCAAGAAAGGACAACTTTTATTCAAAAATCATTATCGTGTATTGATGTACCACAGACAAGTAGACAGAGTAAAAACTGGCTGTGAATATTGTAGAGTTTGGGTGAAGTTCAGACTGGAATATCATTTTCAGGGCATTCTTCCTTTAGCAGAATTCCATTCTTTAGCAGAATTACTAAAATATGAAGTTAATTTTTTCCAAAGGAATTTTTTTTTGCTGTGTTTCTCACATTTGTAAATTACACTGGAAAACAGTGGGATGGAAAATATATTGCAGAAGAGATGTTTTAAATTATTGTTTTCAAGGAGAGTTTTATTTAAATGTACTCAGGATTTCTCTCCCTTACCCAGCCCCAGGAAAGGAAAGAACTGGATATGTTTTGGAGAGATACACTCTCAGCATGACTGGAAGGAAAATTAAGAAGTGTCTTGCCAGCTCTTAAACTGTGTAACAGAGAACAATTACTCTTCATTGGATGATGCTGTAAGAGAAGGCATGTGGAAACAACAAGTGGTTATATCATGCTGTTGTATAGTACTAAATCTGTCTTCAGTCCCTCCCCTTAGCTGTGAATCAGTTTAATCTGCCAAATTATTATTGTTCTTAATACTTCCCAAAGAGTTTTCTAAATTAATGGGCCAAGAAGTTACTGTTTTTACGGTGTTTACATCCTCTTTATCACGGTACACTTTGAAGTTAGAGATAGTTTATGATTTTTCATTTATTTATTTATGTATTTATGTATCAAGTGATTCCACAAATAAAAACTCACACACACATAAAAAAAAATACACAAAAAACAACAAGAAAAAAAAACACAACTTGTACTCTTTCCTTTTTTCACTCAATAAAAAATGACATTTATTGGACTTACAGAAGGAAAAAAAAAGGGGGAGAAGTGATACATTCACAGAGTTGCTCTGTAAATAAATATGCTTCCATCTATTACATATTTATAAGATTTATTGTTTTTATCAGGTTTATTCTTTTTCAATGTTTTGGGAAGAAAAAAATACACAAAAACAATTCACTTGAGAAATAGAACTGCTAGAGAAAAATTCTTCACCCTCACAGAAAAAAAAAGGTATCAGTAGTTAGACTGCTCAAAATATTAGCTATGAATGTTGCTTTGTTATAACATAATTTTCTTCTTTAATAAAATTTATTTATTTTTATATATGTCAATTCTGGAATGAATTCCTGCCTAGGACATTTCACATACTAAGTTGTAAAAAATTAAAGTCTTACATTTAAGTGATGCAACTGCCTGAGTGGAAAGCGTTGTGGATTGTATATGGGGCTGAGAGCCATAAAATCTTGGACTCTGGACCCTTTTTTGATGCTGAGCAGCCTATATAATTTTTTGTACTTACACAATGCTCAGCAAACATTATTAATTTAAGCTTCACACAGTCACTGTGCAGTACAGAGGTGTAATTATCTCACTTTTTCAAGTGGGAGAACTGAGACTCATAGAGGTTATGCTCTGCAATAAAACAAGTTCAGAAATATGGTGGGAACCAAGGTCACTTGGCACTTATTCCTGTTCCTGGTCTGCTGGAGTACTATGTAAAGCCTCAACCCCTTTGCCTGGCATATGGGGTTAATGTTACTTTCCTCTTTGCAGCTGCTTGTGCTGAAATTCATGCCAGGCAGTAGAAGAAGATATCCATCTGTGGAACCCATCTTCCATGGAAGGTATTACTGTCTCATTTATTGTCTCATTTATTGTCTCATTTTGAGTATTTAGGAAGTTTCATGTGGAAAAACAAACAAACAAACAAACAAACAAAAGGCAATTCCAGCTCTGCAGAAGACAATGAAGAGATTCCTTATTTTAATGGACATTAAAACTCTGGGAGAGGTTGCCATAATATGAGATAAAGGATTGCAGAGCAGAACACCAGACCCAAACTGGCACAGGAAGTACCCACAGTACCTTAGTTTACTCACTGCAGCAGTTACTTACCCTTTGTGTGCCTCAGATTTTTTTCTTGCTTGTTTTCAATTTAGTTTTAAGCCACAGTATGCTGCTAAAACATGGGACTTGAGCCTACGAAATCCTGGGTGTTACAGTGGCACTCAGTGGCTTTCAGGCTGATCTGGGTGAATTTCTTGTGTAGAAATTTGCTCCTGAGCAGTGTCAAGGTGCTGGATCAGAAGGCAAGGTGGAGTGAGTGAGAAAGCTGCTTGTATTGCAAGCATTGCCAGTCAACTTCCCGTGAGGTGGGTGGTGCTGACAAGGGGCAGTGCCCCAACCCTACCTGAGCAGTGCTGCTGGGCTGACAGGCTTTCCATCCCTGCACGTGGATCAAAAGAACTGTAGAGCATGAAGAAACACGAACTTTAATTTACCTTTTTGACATGCCCCGTGTGCCAGCTGTAGAGCAGGAGTAATTCTATCTCTACTTTATTTAGAGCTGCCTGCCAAAATGCCCAGAGTGCAGCGTATTAAAGTGCATCTTTTCCACACAATGTATCTGAGTTGCCACAGATCAAAGTTTTACCTCTAGGTCCTCAAACAACTCTTTGGGGTTACATGGTGTGGTACCAAAACATGCTAAGCCTTTGCAGGTTTCAGTAAAGAAACCTTCTTTCTATCTATCTATCTATCTATCTATCTATCTATCTATCTATCTATCTATCTATCTATCTATCTATCTAATGTATCTATTTATCTAATCTAATTTATCCATCTATTTATTTTTCAATTAACAACTTTTTAAAATAGTGTTTTCACTTGCTCGTCCCAGCACTTTTTGATATTTCACCTGTTCATAAGTTTTGATATAGTGAATTACCTTTTATACAAGTTGCTTTCCTTTGTATTTTTTTTAGAGCCTGCTGTTCTCTCAGTTTTCCAGTAAATTATTATTTTCTCTGTATTACTTTACATGTTGTAATTGCTTTGTTATCTGGAAAAGAAAGGTAGGCTCAGCTTACTCCTTTCATCACTGCCAGAGCCTCAGTGAATGAACTGTAGTTCGTCTCATTACCATTGCTTTGTTCTGCTCTGTTACAATGATAATTGCCCTTGTCATCTTCTTGTAATGTTAGCTGTGAAACCTTGTGGTTAAAAACAGAGAGAAGGTAAAAGGTTGTGGTGGGGAGAGATAAATTAGGCAGTATAGTTTGCAAAATGAGTTGATAAAGAAATGCTTGTGTTTCCTATCATTAAATAACTGAGTCTGAATACATTATGTAAACACAACAGCACACACTGAAGAAAGGCTAAGTTGGTTTGCTGCAAGAGATACAGCAAGCGTATGACTGTGAGAGTTTACAATGTTTGGTCCCAGTGTAATTTTGGTCAAATTAAGACAAATGAAAACTTCCAGGTGTCTCATTTTCTTTAAACATTTTTTTTTTTCCCTCTCTGGAAAGTCTTGCTCCCTCCCAGCCTTCCTGTTGCTTTTACCCGTGCCGGATGATCTTTGATGAGACAGCTATACTGTTTTTGTTTTTAACCTATATTTTTACGTCTCTTGCCCAAAGGAATGAAAAATTGTGTTTTCCTCAAAGTAACCAAATAAATAAACTTGATTAAAATTAAGGGCTATGTTGTGATGCTGGGTGCTAATGCTATCAAAACCAGCTTGTGGGATCTTGTGGCCATCTAATTTTGGTCAAGACACCTAACAGTTAAAATGCAATCCCTTCTGCGGCAAATGAAAAGTAGAAATGACCAAGTAAAAGTGCAATTAGGCAAAAACAAACAAACAATGTGGATATGTACACATTGTTTTCTCAATTCTGTAACTGGTAATCAAACTGTTGTTTTTTATGACCTCCTGAGGAAATACAGAGTTGTCCTCCTCTCATTAAGAATCACTTAATTAATTAATTCCATGTTGAATGAGACCCTGAGCAATCTGATCTAGTGGGTGGCATCCCTGCTAATTGAAAGGAAGTTAGAACTAGAAGGTCCCTTCTAACCTAGACTGTTCTACAGTGATATGAATTACTTGTGTCCTGGGAGCTTCCCACAGGAAACTAAAGATTCAGCAAGGCCTAGACGTTTAGATGGAAAACTGTTTATTTTATAAGAATTTGAAAGATAAACTTAACACATTGTCAAGATAACTGAGGTGACCAGGTGAAATCTAAAGATACTATTGTATAACAGAACCAGTGGTGAATGAGTTCCAGCATAGCAGAGTTAGCTGTTGAAAATACCTGAAAGCAGCAGGTGAGATAGCTCCCAAAACAGTGGATGTGTGATTCTCTTGTCCTGTGTCTCAGATTAGCTATGTGATGGGGCTACCCTGTGTGACAGTCTCTGTGCCAAAATATTTGTGTTAACATGTGGATGTACCTTCTGTTTGACTTTTTTTTTTTTTTTTTTTTTTTAATTAAATTGCTGCATATCTCTTTTATGGCATCTGATTGTTGGAGTCTAGTCCTTTATTCAGTGTTTGGAAATACTGATACAGTTGCTCAGTGAGAGCAAAATTACAGAGCAATCTTAAAGGTATTCCGTTCTCAGATGGCCAAGACACAGCAACAGGTTTTTAAAAGATTGATTAGCCCTTTGGTAAAGAGTGAAATTGTGGTTTCTAAGATTTAAAAATCCTACTGACTACAGATATAGCCCTGTCATGTTAGGATACATTCAACTTTATATTCATTACAGCAGATAACAACAGCTGCTCTCACAACAGGGTGCAAGCTCAGCTCATATGGAGAGGCATGGATACCCAGGGTGTATTCTTTTGGCTTCCTCTCTCCAGTGGAAAGTATGCTCAAATGGAGAGAAATATTTGGTGATTGTACTCATCTATCAAATCTTAATAATTCCATACTCATGACATGCCATCCAACTCCACAAATGTCAAGATGACTAAACATGGAAAAGTCAACCTGTTGATTTTGGAGTCTGTTTATGTGCCTGGTAAAATAGAGGGGAAGAAGGAGAGATACCAGTGCTGATGCACAGTTGCACACTGCACTTAGGTATTTTTGGCATTGTGGTGTCTGGCCTGTGACCTCTTTGTCATGACCAAGGCAAGTACTTCCTAGTGTCTTAATGCTTTTAAAAGGCCCATTGGTAGATACATAAAGTAGCACAAAATCATAGAAATGTGAATGAATGACTGTCATTTAAATTTCTCTGAACAGATAAATTCATCATGATTCGCTATTTCAAAAAGACATATTTGATGACAAATATATATTAAAAGTATACAGAATTATATTAGAGCACTTGGTCCTTATCAAAACAAATAAACAAACAAAAACACAAGGAGAAAAAAAAAAGGCAACCACAGACAAATCTTACAAAGGTAGGGGAAAATACTGAACAAATTAAATGTTTTCACCACATGTAGCTGTGCTTTTGGGTCCTGTATAGCAGCAAAAACTAATTTACATGTCCATCGATGAAGGAAATGTTTTGTTTGTTTGCTTTTAACTGTTTCTAAAAACAATTGGATTGTTTCTACCTCATTCTTTATCAAGGTGTGGACACAGCATAGAGAAGTGGTTCAACTGAGAATATCTGAAGCCTGTTAATTAGGACTATAGAGAGGGACTGGATGCAATATAATGTGCCTGCTTAGAAACCATCAGAAACAGGCTAACACTATTTTCTCTGCAGGTGGAATTCAAGTCAAGTTAATGTCTCTACATTTTTACATTTTTATTTGTTCAGTCTGCTTCAGTTCTTTGCTGAAGAGCCATTGAAAATGCTGACCCAATACTTGTATTGAATTTATTTTTCACTATTATGCTTTTAGATTAAAAAGAAAAAAAAAAGATATTTTTTGTAAGTTTCTAAAGTGAAGGAAGCTTTGTGGTCATGTAAGTATTACAGGACTGAAAAACATCCTGTCCCTGGTTTTACTAATATTCTATATGAGTTATCTAATTGTTCCTTATTAATATCGATGACCTAGAAGAAAATCCTGCCTGTAAGAGTGTTTTCTGATATGAAATGCAGAGTTTTCTTCAATATTATTATAAAAGATAATAAATGTGTCTGTCTTACCTTCTTGGTCCTTTTTAATAGCTCCATACATGAAGGATTGTCTCTAAAGTCTCTCTTGAACTGTTTAAAAAAGCTAGTATAACAGTAGAGCAAGCAGCCACACAACTCTTAGGGGATCAGTCCTGACTGTGTTCTTGTAACAAATTTGAAACTCTTCTCCTGAGAAAAAGGCAAACATAAACATTATTTATGTATGTGTGTATTTATTTATTTATTAATTATTATTATTATTATTAGCATAGTAAGTCAACAATTAGCAGGAGTGAATTTTGGACACAATTTCACCACGAATCTTTTTGACTTCCAATCCAATAAGTAGCCTGTCATCATCAAATAAATGCATCTTCAGATAACTTATTCATGGAATCATTTAGGTTGGAAAACACCCTTAAGACCATGAGGTCCAACCATCAGTATAACTCTACCAAGCCCACCACTAAAATATGTCACTAAATATTACATCCACACATCTTTTGAATACCTCCAGTGATGGTGACTACACCACTTCTCTGGGCAGCCCATTTCAATGCCTAACCACCCATTACATGAAGAAACTCTTCCTAATGCCCAATTTAAATTATCCCAGTTGCAACTTGAGGCTGTTTCCTTGTATACAGTCTGAACTTTTTTGAGGGTAACTTGAGTCCATTTCCTCTTATCCTATCACTTAATCACCTGAGAAAAGAGACCAACACATTATTCATTGCAACCACCTTTCAGGTGACTGTAGAGAGCAATGATGTCTTCTCAGACTAAACAACCCCACTTCCCTCAGACACTCCTCATAAGTCTTGTCTCTTCACCAACTTCATTGCTCTTCTCTGAATGTGTTCCAGCAACTCCGTATCCTTCTTGCAGTGAAAGGCCCAGAACTGAACACAGTAGTTGAGGTGCATCCTCACCAGTGGGAAAATCAATTCCCTAGTTCTGCTGGACTTGCTGTTTTTGATAAAAGCCAAGATGCCCTTGGCCTTCCTGGCCACCTGGGCACACTGCTGGCTCATGTTCAACCAGGTCTCAAACAGCATCCTTAGGTCCTTTTCTGCTGGGAAACTTTACAACCACTCTTTCCTAACCGTATATTGCTGCAAGAATTTGTTATGACTCAGGAGCAGGACCTGGCACTTACTGTTGTTGGATGTCAGGCTTTTGGACTTGGCCAGTTTTTCTTGCCTATTCCTGAAGAAAAGCTCTGCTCGGTCTAGGCATTTCCAATATTGTTGATAGCTGAAATGTTAGAATAAGCTCCATATTAAAAACGCAAGTTTGTGAAATGCAGAATCATGTACAGTTGTTAAAGACACGAAAATGCAAAAGCAGATATTCTGCATAGTAACTGTGATATTTTTGCTGATATATGTTTCTGTCAAAACTCTCTTCTGTGTTCTGTAAGATTGCCATATTTATTTTCACGTGACTAGTGTAGATCTTTCATGTTTTTATGATTTCTTGTTTGTTTTGCTGATGGTAGAAAACAATTCTAAATTAGCCTTGGATTTAAGTGATTCTTTTTGTTGTTTAGGTTGTTTTTCTTTATTCATTATTTACATTATCATTTTTTATCCCCTTCTATATTTTTTTTATTGTTTTGTGATTCCACCTTGACTAGAGCCTGTTTGTTCCTTCAAGTCATCAAAGGCATTTGAATATGTAATATAGAACAAATATGTAGTGTTACAGTCTTTTTCCGTATCATTTTAATTTAATATCATTATTTTTTGTAAGTATGTTTCTTTGGCAGTTCTTCTATTTTGTACTTATGTTAGCTTGTAGATTTCATTTTGGATATATCTGGACCCATATCATTAACATTTAAGCTTAATTATGTTTGAAAATATGTTGTCTATGTAGTTATTTTTTACTAGCTAGGGAAATAGTGTCTATCTTCATCTTTATGGATGAGTATTTTGAGTTGCTATCCTTTAAGTGTTCATTTTTCTCTCTCTCTCAAGAACTCCGTATTTTAATGTAACATTTCAGATTTCTACTGAAATAAATTCCTTCATGTTTGTCCTTATGTTTCTGTGTAGGAGTTCTTGATGTTTTCTAAAGAGATACTAATATAACCTCCCAAGAGGTGCCATGCAAATGTCTGGGTACATAAATGAAAATGGTGATGGCTACTTACTATCCATAATGTCTTTCAAAGGACTAGGTAAGCTAGAGCTGTATTTGTAAGTCTAGAAGTATGAAACAACAATAGTTTTTTGGGTAAGTAGAGCCATGGACATTTAATACTATGATACTGCAAACAATTTGTAAATATGTTGTGAGAGATAAGAAAAAAAAATCAAGAGGGTATAATCTATAATATAGATTATATATAATTATATATAATTATTGTTGTATATATATAATTATAGATTATATACAACAAAAAAGTCAATATATTTATATAATATAATCTATAATTATATATAATTACTTAATTATAGATTATATATAATTATATTAATTATATAACTATAGATTATATAATTAATATAACTAATATAATTATAGATTATAACCTAATTATATCTAAGTGAATCAGGGTCATAGAATCATAGAATGGTTTGAGTTGGAAGGGACTTTCAAGACCACCTAGTTTCAACCCTCCCGTGATGGACAAGGACGCCTTCCACTAGACCAGGTTGCTCAAAGCCCCATGCAACCTGGTCTTAAACACTTTAATGAATGGGGTATGAACAACTTTCCTGAGCAGCCTGTGCCAGGGCCACACCCTTTGAGTGAAGTAATTCTTCCTTATATCTAATCTAAATCTACCTTTTTTTCAGTTGAAAACTGTCACCCCTTGTCCTACCAGTCCACTTCTTGCTACAGGGTAGCAGGTAGTACAGGGTACCTCCCCACCATTTTTGTAGGCTTCTTTTAAGTATTGGAAGGCCACTATAAGATCTCTCTGGAGGCTTTCCTTCTCGAGGCTGAACATCCCCAGATCTCTTAGCTTGTTTTCATAGCAGAGGTGCTCCAGCCCTCTAGTACTCTGTAACCCTCCTCTGGATTCTCTCTAACAGCTCCATGTCTACCTTTTACTGGGATCCCCAGATCTGGATGCTCTGGATGATCTGGATGCCTGGAGATCCAGGTGGGGTCTTGTGAGCATGGAATAGAAGGGGAGAATCACATCCCTCAACCTGCTGGTCAAACTTATGATATAGCCCAGGATACTGGGCTTTGTGGTCTGCAAGTGCACATTGCCTGCTTATGTCAAGTTTTTTATCCACCAGTATGCCTTGGTCCTTCTCCTCAGGGCTGTTTTCAGTCCATTCAACACCCACTCCATACTGATGTTTGTGATTAGTGCAACTCAGATAAAGGATGTTGTACTTGACCTCATTGAACTTCATGAAGTTTGCATGTACCTACCTCTGAAGCCTGTTAAGGTCCCTCTGGATGGCAACCTTTCCCTCTAGAGTATCAACTGCACCACAGAACTTGAACTTGGTGTAATCCATAAACTTGCTTAGGATGCATTCTATCCCACTCTCTATGTCCTTAGTGAAGATATTAAATAGTACCAGTCCTAGTGTGGATCCCTGAAGTACACCACTTATCACTGGATATTAGATATATATCACTCCACTTGGACATTGATCCACTGACTGCAACTCTTTGGATGCAGCCATTAAGCCAATTCCTTATCCACTGAATAGTCCGTCAGGCAAATCCATGTCACTCTGATTTAGAGGCAAAGGTGTTCTGTGGAACCCTATCAAAGTATTTATACAAGTCAAAGTAGATGACATCAGTTGCTTTTCCCTTGTCCGCCAGTTCTGTCACTGTCATAAAAGGCTACCAAGTTAGTCAGGCATAATTTGTCCTTTGTGAAGCCATGATATCTGTCTACGATAACCTCCTTGTCTGCCATATACATTAACATGGTTTTCAGGACGATCTACTCCATGATCTGAGCACACAGGTGAGGATGGCAGGTCTGTATTACCCTGGGTCCTCCTTTTTAACCTTTTAAAAACTGTGTTTTATGTTTTGCCTTTTCAGGTCAATGAGTACTTTACTTGACTGCCATGACTTCAAATTTGATGGATAGAATGCATTGACAAAAGGGGCTTAAGAAAAGGTGGGAAAGAGGATTTACTGTAATACTTAAGAGTCTGCTAGTATGTATGTTCTGCTTTTCTGCAGATATATTCAGGAAACACTGGGGAAATAATGTCTGAAATTTTAGGCTATTTACTAAAGCTAGATTAGTATCCAAGGAAATATCTGTTGGGGAGATACTACGAAAAGTATGTGCTGAACAGAAGCAACAAGAACCACTCATAGTAATTTCTGTACTGTTAATTCAATATTCATAACAACAACAACAAAAAAGAAACTTTACTGGTAGATAGCATTTCATATGAGTGAGACAGTAAAGTCAACAAAATTCTGGCTGCAGAACTAAGTAAAACAATTTAAATCTATATTAACTACTGCTACTAATTTTAAATATCTAGAGACCTCAGTGTCTGAAATCACTGAAGAATTTGGCAAGTCTAATATAAAATCTGCAGAAAAAAAAATATCACAAACTAGAAGAACTGGACAGATTTGGAAGCAAGTTGGAAAGGTTAAACAAAGGGCTATGAAAGTGTTGGTATCCTGTTGTGTCTACCTCAGTAATTGATTCTCTTGTGAAATTATTTGTCCTCCGAAGTCCTTTGGCCTTTCTGACCTTCAAGTGGTAAGTTATTTTCTTCACTATCATCTCCTAGCTTTGTTTTGAATAATAATAATAATACATAAGAGGCAGGTACTTTTGCTTTCTCTCTTAGACAAATGCTGCATTGTTGTTTCTTAGTTGGGTAAGGGTGCAATGCTCCAAGGTCCTGCTGTTTCACAGCTGTAGTGAAAGTGACAGAAAATCACCCACAGAAGACTTGTCTGAGTCTTAGATGCTGTTGAGCAGACTAGCGATTCTGTAACTTTCTAAACAGACTCAGAAAGATTTGAATGATGTTGTTCTGAACTTTCAGTATTCTTTTCTTTTTAGACATTGCAGTACATTAACAGAGTTTTAGAAGAAAAGCTCGTTGTATAGTGCATATTTGTACTAGTCATACATTGTAGAAAGATGTCACCAGCTATGTTGAGTGAAACAGAACTTGGATTTGTGTATATCACCTGCTAAATCACAGAGTAATAGAGTAGTTTTGATAGGAAGGGACCTTCAGGACCTTCAGGTTCCAAACTTCCTGCCCTGAGCAGGGACACCTCCCACCAGACAAGGTTACCCAGAGCCCCATCCAACCTGGCCTTAAACATTTCCAAAGATAGGGCATCCACAGGTTTTCTGGGCAACCTGTTCCAGTGCCTGACCACCTTCTGAGTGAAGAAATTCTTCCTAATATCTAACCTAAATCTAATACTGATGATATAGCCTTCTGTTCATTCTAGTTTTAAAATATAGATTTTTTTGAATGCACTATTGAAATTATTTCCCACCTTAGTTTCATCTATCAAACTCTCTGAAATTATTTGAGAATTTCATTTGTATCTGTACTTTAGAGATACTAATCTGATAAAGCTCATCACTATCATAAGTCCCTCAGAATTAGTTTGAGCTACTGTCAGTGTTCCTTTTTCTGAAGGCTGAAGGCAAAGTATTTGGAAAACATTTATACTGAAGGTAAAACTAAAAGTTGTATGGTGTCAGGGCTTTTTATACATATAGTAAAATTTCTGTTAAGAGTAATGATAACCTTTTAAGTCTCAGGTGTGCATAGCAGTTTTAATTTTTTTTTTTTGTTTGTTTGTTTTTTAATAAAAAAATAATTATCTATACAGAAAAATGGTCTGGTTAAGAAGTGGTTATCAATATTAGGAAAATGTTCGAAGTTTGAAGATGCAGTGTATTTTGTTTTGTGAAGTTAAAGTCATTAACTCTAAGTCTTTTTCAAATGATCCCATCTGAAGATCTGCCAAATTGTAAAGAAGCATATGTTCATGTACGAAAAGTGGAAGACATAATTGCGTAAAGTACGTTTGCAAGATTTAAAATCACATACGAGGGAATATTAGCCATGAAACATTAAATGGAATATGCCTTAAAACAGATAAAGAGATTAACAGAATCATGTGATTTTTTTTTTTTTTTTTCACCTGCACAAATCCCTTTATATTCATTGACATTGGTCTTCATTGTTGGCCTTGATCATACTTACTAGCAGAAAAAATGTGTAAAAATTGTCCCCTTATTTATCTAACATTTTTATGGAGACAAAAGAGGCAACACCATCTGTCTGCTTTTGGAGTTATTTTACATTCAAGGAAAATTTTAATGTTGGGAATCTGGTCTATGGTTGTACCCACGAGTGGGGAGTGATTCTGAAGATAAGTAAATATTAAGGGTTATGGAAGAGGAATGTACTTAGTTGTAGACTTCAGAATTGGGGACACCACACTGAAAAACAAAAGTAGAGGCCTCTAGCCATGGTATAACCTACCATACAAGGTCTATGAATTCTTCTGTTCAGGTAGTACTGTTTGCAGTGGCAGTATAATTTTCTTCACTCATTTAACCTGTCATCAATTCCATTAAATATTGGCGTTAATTTGCCAATAATTGGCATTTAATTAGCATTAAACACTCCTCCCAGATAGGCACCTTAGAAACAGCTCAAAATCTAGCTTCTGCAGAGTGGTGGTCAGTCAGCTGATTCCCTCAGTGAGTCCGTTTTTTGTGATGTATGGTCTTCCAACACATATTGTTTTTAATATTTTTCAACTCCCATTACTGCGCCTTTCTGAAGAAGCAGGATGAAATGGCCTGCCTTAGGCCAATCACAGCTTTGTCATATCCATTCTTGGCCCAAGTAGAGATACAGTGTCTATTATTGTCTTACACCTGTTTGGAAGTATAGAAGTCCAGCTAAACCTTTCAGTTCACTAGTGGATTTAGAGAATAAAGGTAATACTCTTCCATTTAAATATGAAAAATTGTTATATAAAGTAGCGAATGACTCTACTGTAACCCATCCCCAGAAGTTACCACGTCCTCAGATAGCTTTTAAAATATTAATGGGGAACAATGCAAGAATCAGTGGATAAAACTGACATGTATTCTCATTCTTGCATGCTTTTTCTTTTGCTACCTGTGTGTGTTTAAAATCTCCAGTTGTTTAAATCTTGGCTTTGCAAAGACATATGGTAATGTTCCTTAAAACTGATTAATTCAGAGACCATACAGTAGAATGCAGGACAGCATGGTTGAAGAACACACATACTAAAATGGCTTAAAGATGCATTTATGGACACAAAATAGCATATTAATACATATTTATGCAAATTGAACTGTTTTATTATTATTATTATTTCTCCTAAAGACCTATGTATCTGAGTAACAGTAAAAGGTGATATTTTCTGAGCTCAGTTGATATTTCATCAAAATATGCCTGGTGTGCACTCTTTGTAAATCATTGCCAGTGCCTTGAATAGTTGTGTTAAGGGTTGGATAGCAGCTTTAGCTCAGCTATTTCCTATATTTGTCTACTCTTTGGCAATCATTTTCTGGGTTTACAGTCTCCAGTACAAGAAAATAAATGACATACACTGTGCACTGCATTAGCCAACCCACATGTCTGTTTCTGTTGAGCTGCAAGATAATTATGCAAAGCGCTGAAAATCTGTATCCAGTGATATGTGGTAATTTGTATCAGTGATCTGTTTGATGTAAAGATGAATTATTTGCTGCAGAGCCTGCCCAGACAAACAAAAAGCAGTGACATGCCATTTCTAATGGAAATTAAGCAGAATATAATTCAGCAAAAAGTTTTAATGACCAATTAGGTTACCCACAAATCATGAGTGGACCTATGCTTTGTGTCAGTTCGTTACATGATGTGATGACTGATGAAAATATTTTCTTCTTCCTTCCTTCCTTCCTTCCTTCCTTCATTCCAGGGAGGGTTCACTTCTTCCTCAGGCAGTCCTCCTCCTCGCTCGTCCTTCCTCCTTCTTCCTTCCTCTTCCTTTCCTTCCTTCCTTCCTTCCTTCCTTCCTTCCTTCTTCCTTCCTTCCTTCCTTCCTTCCTTCCTTCTTCCTTCCTTCCTTCCTTCCTTCCTTCCTTCCTTCCTTCTTCCTTCCTTCCTCTTCCTTCCCTTCCTTCTTCCTTTCCTTCCTTCCTTCCTTCCTTCCTTCCTTCCTTCCTTCTTCCTTCCTTCCTTCCTTCCTTCTTCCTTCTTCCTTCCTTCTTCCTTCTTCCTTCCTTCCTTCTTCCTTCCTTCCTTCCTTCCTTCTTCCTTCCTCCTTCCTTCTTCCTTCCTTCCTTCTTCCTTCCTTCCTTCCTTCCTTCCTTCCTTCCTTCCTTCCTTTCCTCCTTCCTTCCTTTCCTTCCTTCCTTCCTTCCTTCCTTCCTTTCCTTCCTTCCTTCTTCTTCCTTCCTTCCTTCCTTCTTCCTTCCTTCTTCCTTCCTTCCTTCCTTCCTTCCTTCCTTTTCTCTCCTTCCTTCCCTTCCTTCCTTCCTTCCTTCCTTCCTCCTTCCTTCCTTCCTTCCTTCCTTCCTTCCTTCCTTCTTCCTTCCCTTCCTTCCTTCCTTTTCCTTCCTTCCTTCTTCCTTCCTTCCTTCTTCCTTCTCCTTCCTTCCTTCCTTCTTTCCTTCCTTCCTTCCTTCCTTCCTTCCTTCTTCCTTCCTTTCCCTTCCTTCCTTCCTTCCTTCCTTCCTTCCTTCTTCCTTCCTTCCTTTCCTTCTTCCTTCCTCTTCCTTTTCCTTCTTCCTTCTTCCTTCCTTCCTTCCTCTCCTTCTTCCTTCCTTCCTTCCTTCCTTCTTCCTTCTTCCTTCCTTCCTTCCTTCTTCCTTCCTTCCTTCCTTCCTTCTTCCTTCCTTCCTTCCTTCCTTCCTTCCTTCCTTCCTTCCTTTTCCTTCCTTCTTCCTTCTTCTTCGCTTCTTCCTTCCTTTCCTTCCTTCCTTCCTTCCTTCCTTCCTTCCTTCCTCTTCTTCCTTCCTTCCTTCCTTCCTTCCTTCCTTCCTTCCTTCCTTCCTTCCTTCCTTCCTTCCTTCCTTCCTTCCTTCCTTCCTTCCTTCCTTCCTTCCTTCCTTCTTTTCCTGCTTTCTTGCTTTCCTGTTTTCCTGTTTCCCTTCTTTCCTTATTTCTTCGCTCCTTTCTTTCCTCCTTTCTTTCCTTTATTCTTTCCTTCTTTCTTTCCTTCTTTCCCTCTTTCCTTCTTTCTCTCCCTCTCCCTCCCCCTCTTGCTATCCCTTTCTCTCCCTCTCTCTGTCTCCCTCTCGCCCTCTTTCTCTCTCTCTTCATTTTCTTACTCTCTTCTTTCTTCCTGACCAGTGAATGTGACCTTGCCTATACACATATTGTTTCATCATCATGAATCAACATAGCTCAGATCTCTTTTTTGTCTTACTGCCAAATATTTATTTTATCTGGGCAGAGGAGTAGTCTAATATTAAATAAGTAGGTGCAATTAAATATCTCACCTTTATCAGTGCTCAGCTTGATGACACAAATGTTACCTTAAAAATTCATCTTTACTTATATGGTAATTTGGAAATGTCAAATAAAATTCAAGTGTGGTTGTATTTCAGAGAAAGTTATCATTAACTTTTTATTTGTAAATACTGAAATATCTAAAATAGTTACTGTCATCTTTAATTATATCTGTTTTTAGTCATCTTTAATTATATCTGTTTTTAGTCACTTGAATTTGCTCTGTCATTTCCCTATATATTTGATTTCTAAATTTTGTTTACTTGGATAATTTGACAACAAGAATTTTAAATGGAATATATGCTTGTGCATGAGAATCTTTTAATATATAACAACTGGAGCTTTTCTTCTTCTTGGAATAGACGTTATGAGAGTTGAAAACCGGAGTGTTCTGGAGTCTGAAGTTTTCATGTCCTACATAGTGTGATGAGACAAAAGGCATCCAACTACCAATATTTATCCCACCAATGGATTAATTTATGCTGTGAATATCTGGGAAGAAAAATCAGTGGATTTGGCTGCTAATTTCATCTGAATACTGTGGATTTGGGAAAAGTCCAGGAATGCTTCTTAAGCCTGCTTACATATGTAAAGAACCATAATCGAGATTTGTCTTCTCAAGTCTGTCTCAAGTTTTAGGTTCTTCAGATCTGGTAGTTTAGCATACCTTTGTGGAAATTCACTGAAGCTGTGAGATTTATAATATGCTGATAAACTCCATTTCTATGGCTCTGAATTTATAGTCAATAGAAGTATATATTTTTGCTGGAACTTATTGTAGCAGCACGTTAAAAACAAGAGGATACATATTTATGAGAAAATTAATATTTTGAATATATTTGAAAAATGTTTTTCAAAATAAAAAATATTTTTAAAAATAAAAAATGAAAAATATTTTTCATTAACATGAAATATTAACATGAAAAATATTTTCATTAACATGAAAAATATTTTCGTGTTTACATTTTTATTTCCAAACGTTCTCTTGGCTTAGTTATGATAGGTTAGTCAAGCAATGTCTTACACCTGTCATGAAATACTGATGTTAACATACTATTTTTGTCTACACAATCTTCCCCAATTTCTTGTGTATTTGGCCTAATTTTCCACAAGTCTTTTCCAGTCTTCAAACATCAAAATTTTAACCATGATATTTAATGCAATTCACTGTATTTTTGCATTTTGCTTTATTCCTATACTACCTTCATTGTTCTAGTCCAACACATGACAGATATGGTATTTTCATTCCTAGGGAGTTTATTATTATTATTATTATTATTATTATTATTATTATTATTATTATTATTATTATTATTATTATTATTATTATTATTATTAATTATTTTTATTTTATTTATTTATAATTTATTTATTTATTTTTTACTACAAGGAATCTAGTTGATATGATTCATATATAAAATATTATATTATTATGTTTTATAAGACCAGTGCATTGTGAATGGCATGAGCAAAATGGAAAAGCAAAAAGTAATGACCCTGGAGAGAGATGAATAAGAAACATTTATGACTGGCTTGTACTGGCTGACTGTGTTGTGCTTTCCAAAAGACATCACCTGAGTTGATGCTGTTGTGCATCATCCTTTGTACCGGCTTCTGTTTTGGCTTTCTCTAAGAAGCCATTATTTGTGCTATTGGAAGTGTTGCTGGTCTTCAAGATGCAGACATCTGTCCTCTGGGAATGAGATAAGAGTTTGGGCTACTAAACAGCTGTCAGTAGAGAGTTATTTCAGTCAGCAAATCTCATTTTCTATAGAAAAACCTTTAAAAAAATGAAACTTTGGATCCTTGAAATTCAATTTCCAGTACAGTAAGACTGCCCCATAAATAACAATCATATGTAATCTTGTTTTAGTTACAGATATTTCCACTATTGAGAAGCATTTATAGCAAGAAAAATGCCTTTTAACCAATGTAATTGAATTGAGGTAGTGTGGTATTGTGAATTGCTGGAGAACAGAGACAACCCATCAATTTATGGCAGGCAAAATGTTTCTGGAACTTTATTGTCTGACCTTTCACTAATTTAAAAATGTTTACTCACATCAGTCTGTTAAAAGGTTTTTCAAGCAAAGATATCCAAACCAAAGATGGTTTTGTATGGTCTCAATTGAGTCTCATTCTTTAAAAGTTGATTTGTGTCTGAGTTTCTTAAATGAAATTGGGGGATAAATTTATTACTCTGATTGTCTTTTGTCTGTGTTTTCAATAACACTTTTTACAGAGGTAAAAAGAAAGAACAGGACTGAAACATGCGATAATTTGAGATTTTAAATCATGTTTTGGCATGACTCACAATAGGTATTCTTCTTCTCATCACTTTCATTAAATTACTGAGTTGTCAACCTTCTGTACTTCTGCCCGTGAAAAAAATAATTGTAATTGGATGAAATGTAGGTTCTATGAAATGACAGCAGAATTATTTCACAACTACTGCAGTTTTATAATGGGAAAATTGATTACATTAGCTGAATAGCATAAACATTCATGGGTTTTCTAGGTATATCTTGAGTGTATTGGAGACTTCATATGTCTAGAAGATACTGAATTCCCTCTTCCCCTGCACTCCACTACCAGATTACACAGAGCAAGCTGAACGTTGTCTGGAGATCAGGAGAAAAATCTTTTCCTCTTTATTGACTGTGACCAGTAGTACATTGCTTTTTGTCTGACCTTTATGATAAACAGATATTTCTCTTATTTATTTTGTTTGGCTCCATGAATGCTTTCTAGCTGCTCCTGATGATAATAGGAATGGAAAGTTTTTTCCCTGCAAAAACAATAAAAAAAATATTAACAATAGAAATTTACACTGAGTATCAATGAAAGAGTTGCTGACTTCCTTTATTTTCATTATTCCTACTGTGTGTCTGCTCTAACTAGGCATTATACAATAACTCAACAATTCTCTGAGAAACAAACAAACATATAAAAAAAAGTTCCAGGCATTTGTTTAATTAAGTAGCTATTAAATTTGAAATGAGGTTGCTGGAGTGAGAGAGCAGAAAGAGATGGAAGAAATTCAGTTAATGGCAAATAAAGTACGCCGCTTATATAAAGAGGAAAAAATACTGCAGTATCTTGTTTCGCTTTAAGCTTAATGAATCAAAATCACATTGAATTTACTTCTAGCCTTCTAGCCACTAAGCTTGAATAAATTGTTTATAAATAGCATATATACTTTATTTATTTATTTATTTATTTATTTATTTATTTATTTATTTATTTATTTATTTATTTATTCCTCACTTCCTTTGCTATTGGTGTTTTACCAATGAGCACTTTCCAGGAAAAATTGCCAGGGAAAGCCATTTTGATGTGCACAATGAGCAAAAATTGTGCTAAATATCTTGAATAACAGCTACAGGTTTCTTATCTGTAGACAAACTATAAACAAACAAGTTACAGACTCCTTCTGTCATGGCGCTTATAACTGCAGATTGCTCGTTGAATAATATTTGCAAATAAGTACTGATTATTTGTTTGCATCTCATTTTGGAGAGTAAATAACTTGTGTTACCATTGATGAGTTTTGATGTCATTTGTATAACTCATGATCCTCCAAATCACGTTTCCAATAGGAATAGTAGAAATGATAAACTAGAGAATACTCTGGGCATTGAAAACTAGAGTTTCATCTAGAAGTATGTATGCTGGGCAGCAGAACAAAGAACAATCCTGTTACACAAAGGGCAAATTCATAGGGCAAATTCATATGTACATACACAGAGTCTATAAATGGAATTAGTATTATTTAAAAATTGCTTATATGCTAACTAAAATCAATGTTTTGCTTTTTAATGTCTTGTAAAGTGGTGTTATGAAATGTGACCAATACCTCAAATAAAAATGGAGAATGAAATTTTCCATTTTTACATGGTTAGAAAGGAATGCATTGATATTATTGAACCTTAGTAGTCTGATTTCATATCAGGCATAAAGAGAAGTTTCTGAACAATTCTACATGTAAAACATTGTAAAAAGTTTCAAAAGAAGTTTACATATATACATAAAAGAAAATGGAGTGTTTTATGTTAAGAATTTTTAAGTTAAATTTACATCAAAAAATGTTTTCGAAGTTTTTAGGAGATAAAATCTTAAATCTTAATCTACATTCTAACTACTCTAATGTAAATACTACTGATAAACCCACTAAGTTTTTTATATTATACTTAAGGTTACTTTTCCTATGTTTTTTTTTTTTTTTTTTTTTTTTTTTTTTTTTTTTCGCAAGAGCTTTGATAATATACAATTTGGTAGTGGCAAATTTATGATAGAGAAATTCACATATGTAGCCTATTTTTTATCTTCAGTGAGAAAAACATGGTATCACTGTCTAGCTTGATTTATAATATTTTTATTTTTTATTTTTATTTTTAACTGGGTTTAGTGAGAGGAAGGGGAGGATGCAGATTTTAAATATAAACAGAAGTTGCTTGTTTTCACACAGCCTGTGAGGCTTGTAGAAATCTGTATTTGGAAAGTAAATCTCTTTGAACGAGTCAAAATCTGCCAAGAACATTGCATGTTCAGATGGGAGTTGACATAATTTGGAATGTGGAAATGTAACACCACAGTTATTTGGATAAGCTGAAAATTATTTTAGGTCTGGTGCTCACAGCAAACTATTAAAATGCCTAAAATAGCATCAGGATTTTGGGGAGCTATTTTCAGAGCTCCTCAGATTTTACCTCTGAGGGTTGCCCAGATTTTCTCTCTTTTAAGATATAGTGTAACAAAAAATACATGGCCATTTTCTGTGATTGAGAGAGGGCTGCAATGTTTGCATTACCACAGCATTCCAGTAGGCTTTGGAAAGTTGGGAAAGTTGCCTAATTTCTGCTGATGCACTGGGTCTCAAACACATGTTCATTCAAATTAAGTAAATGATAAAAGAAGATTTATCCTCAGCTGATGCAAAGCTAGAGAATTAAGATATTTGTGTAGTAATACTTTTCCATGTTTTCTTCCTTCTACTTAGTTCAGGAAATGTCTGAAGCTATAAGGTATGACTGATGCATGGGGAAACTGTTGGTCACTCCCTGAACAGGGCAAAAGGAAGGAGATGTCACGGTCTGTCTTCTGTTAATTTTCCATTTGCACCATCCTGAGGGCCTTTGATGTTCAAATCCTTTCTAAACTTTCTGTTTGTTGTGGGTAATTGTATAAACTTCATCACTATATAGCATGAAGTTCTTGACCTACAGTCCACATCATTGGGGATTACCATCTTCCCATTTTATATATAGGCATTTGAAGCACCAAGATATTTAACAATTTTCTCAAAGCCATACAAAATGTCAGTAGTTAGTGGAAATAAAAAGGCTGAGACTCTATGAGCATACACAAAATAGAAATATTCATTCTTCATTCCCATTTATTCTTAATTATTTGTTTCTCCAGAAGACTTCCAATTGGTATGTATGTAGACAGAGATGGTAAAAATCAGATATACCTTTAATGCAAGATATTTTAAGCTGAATGCACTGATACTTCAAGCCTAGATCTTGTTCTAGACTTCAAAGAAATCTGGAATTCATCTAAGTGATTCTGGATCTTAGACCAGTGTTGGTCATTGTCAGAAAGATATCTGGGATAATGTGCTAATGTGTATCTGGGTATGCCAAACCTCTGTTGATGGTAGATTGCCCAGAATATGTATTTAAAAAGTGAGGCAAAGTGATGGAAAAATCACCCCAGACATAGCCATGTATAACAAGATAGACTTATTGTAAAGACATGCATTTTGAAATCTGGTCTAGATTGGATGTGGAGTTCAGAGGCAACTTTGGGACAGGATGCCTTTGTGGTCTGCCTCAATGCTGGAAGTCAAACACACTGAGCAAAACTGTCAAAATTCTGTATTTTTTTGAAGGGCAGTTTGTTACAAACTCCTCCGTAAAAGTAACTGTATTATGCTTACCATGAAAACCCCTGCTGTATTATCCCACAAAGTTGTTGCTGAGAAAAAAAAAAAAAAAAAAAAAAAAAAAAAAAGAGTCCTGAAATCAGGACTTATAGACTGAAATGAGAAGACAGTCAAAGAAGTGGTCAAATTTATGCATTTATAATGCATACATGTAGATGTCCAAGCAATCATTTGAAGTTTATTTATCACAATTAAAAGTTCTGTAAGCAGATATGCTTTCCAGAACTTGTGGCACGAGAATTATTTTTGCTGGTCTGCTGACCATTCTGTTCTCTAGAGATGGGTTGCAATTTCTTGCT